ATTTATTGCCTTCGTCTTATGGGGTTGTACCGCGTAATGAAGCTCCAAATGATCAGCCTCTGATGCCTCTTCCTTCTAGGGTTCTGTCCAGTACTGAGGTTCCGAGTGATCACCCTCTGGTGCCTTCTCTTTCTGGGGCTCTACCGACTGCAGAGACTTCTCATAAGCAACCTTTGTGAAGGCCCCCTCTTGTTTGTTTATTTTGACTCATGTATATGTACATATTTGTAACTTATCGGAGATATCAATAAATAAACTTTGCTTCATTTCAACGTATTGTGTTAAATACATCAAAGCCTTCTTCACTAAGTTCTTTGAATTTTTCTTTTGTTAAAGCTTGTATGTTGAAGCTTTGTGAGTGAAGCATGTAGGTTGAGGTAGTGTTCCCTTAATTTCTCGAGTGATGAAAACTTCTCTATTAGAGACTTGAAAAATCCAAGTCACTGAGTAGGGTCGGCTATATGAATCTTAGAACGCCATTGTGCTCGGTCATGTGTCATGTCCTCCGTTAGATCCAAGTACTCTAAGTCTATTCTTAGAGTCTCTTCCAAAGTTTTCCTAGGTCTTCCTCTACCCCTTCAGCCCTGAACCTCTATCCCGTAGTCGCATCTTTTAACCGAAGCGTCAGTAGGCCTTCTTTGCACATGTCCAAACCACCGTAACCGATTTTCTCTCAGCTTTCCTACAATTTCGGCTACTCCTACTTTACCTCGGATATCCTCATTCCTAATCTTATCCTTTCTCGTGTGCCCACACATCCAACAAAGTAACCTCATCTCCGCTACACCCATTTTGTGTATGTGTTGATGCTTCACCGCCCAACATTATGTGCCATACAGCATCGCCGGCCTTATTGCCGTCCTATAAAAATTTTCCTTAAGCTTCAGTGGCATACGGCGGTCACACAACACGCTGGATGCACTCTTCCACTTCATCCATCCAGCTTGTATTCTATGGTTGAGATCTCCATCTAATTCTCCGTTCTTTTGTAAGATAGATCCTAGGTAGCGAAAGCAGTCACTTTTTGGTATTTCCTGATCTCCGATCCTCACCCTTAACTCATTTTGGCCTCCATTTGCACTAAACTTGCACTCCATATATTATGTCTTTGATCGGCTTAGGCGAAGACCTTTAGATTCCAACACTATATCGTCTGCGAAAAGCATACACCAAGGAATATCATCTTGAATATGCCCTATTAACTCATCCATTACCAACGCAAAAAGGTAAGGACTTAAGTATGAGCCTTGATGTAATCCTACAGTTATGGGGAAGCCTTCGGTTTGTCTTTCATGAGTTCTTACGGCAATCTTTGCTCCTTCATACATATCCTTTATAGCTTGGATATATGCTACTCGTACTCCTTTCTTCTCCAAAATCCTCCAGAGAATGTCTCTTGGGACCCTATCATACGCTTTTTCCAAATCTATAAAGACCATGTGTATATCTTTTTTCCCCTCTCTATATCTTTCCATCAATCTTCGTAAGAGATAAATTGCCTCTATGGTTGAGTGTCCTGGCATGAACCCGAATTGGTTATCCGAAACCCGTGTCTCTTGCCTCAATCTATGCTCAATGACTCTCTCCCAAAGCTTCATTGTATGACTCATTAGCTTAATACCCCTATAGTTCATGCAATTTTGTACGTCACCCTTATTCTTGTATATAGGCACCAAAGTGCTCTTTCGCCACTCATTTGGCATCTTCTTCGTTTTCAAAATCCTATTGAAAAGGTCAGTGAACCATGCTATACCTGTCTTTCCCAAGACTTTCCACACTTCGATCAGTATATCATGTAGGCCCACTGCTTTTCTATGCTTCATCTTCTTCAAAGCTACAACCACTTCTTCCTTCTTGATTCGACGATAAAAGGAGTAGTTTCTACACTCTTCTGAGTTACTCAACTCCCCTAAAGAAGTATTCCTTTCATGTCTTTCATTGAAAAGATTATGAAAATAACCTCTCCATCTGTCTTTGACCGCGTTCTCTGTAGCAAGAACCTTTCCATCCTCATCCTTGATGCACCTCACTTGGTTTAGGTCCCTTGTCTTCTTTTCCCTTGCTCTAGCTAGTTTTATAGATATCCAACTCTCCTTCTTTGGTATCTAGTCGCTTATACATATCGTCATAAGCCATTAACTTAGCTTCTCTCACAGCTTTCTTCACCTCTTGCTTCACTCTTTTATACCTTTCACCATTTTCATCGGTCCTTGTATAAGGCTTTACAACATTCCTTCTTAGCCTTCACCTTTGTTTGTACCTCCTCATTCTACCACCAAGATTCCTTTTGGTGTGGAGCAAAGCCCTTAAACTCTCCTAATACCTCTTTTGCTACTTTTCGAATACAACTAGCCATGGAATCTCACCTGTGGCTAGCTTCCCCCTTTCTATCCCACACACACTGGGTGATTACTTTATCTTTGAAAATGGCATGTTTTTCTCCTTTTAGATTCCACCATCTAGTCCTTGGGCACTTCCAAGTATTGTTCTTTTTTCTCACTCTTTTGATATGTACATCCATCACCAACAAGCGATGTTGATTAGCCAAGCTCTCTCCCGGTATAACTTTGCAATCCTTACAAGTTATACGATCCCCTTTCCTCATTAGAAGAAAATCTATTTGTGTTTTCGACGACCCACTCTTGTAGGTGATCACATGTTCTTCTCTCTTCTTAAAGAAGGTGTTGACTAAGAAGAGATCATATGCCATTGCAAAATCCAAGATAGCTTCCCCATCCTCGTTTCTCTCCCTAAAACCATAGCCACCATGAAAACCTCCGTAGTTGCCTGTCTCCTTACCCACGCGTCCATTTTAAATCTCATCCTATAAATAACTTCTCCGTTTGAGCAATTCGTTGCACCAAGTCTCCAAGGTCTTCCCAAAATTTCTCCTTCGAACTCGTATCCAACCCTACTTGAGGTGCGTACACACTAATCACATTGATGAGTTATTGTCCTATTACAATCTTGATTGCCATGATTCTATCTCATACCCTCTTGACATCTACAACATCTTGTGTCAAGGTCTTGTCCACGATGATGCCAACACCGTTTCTCGTTCTATTTGTGCCCGAATACCAGAGTTTAAACCCTGAGTTTTCTAGATCATTTGCCTTAAGACCAACCCACTTAGTTTCTTGTAGGCACATAATATTTATCCTTTTCCTCACCATAACTTCCACTACTTCCATAGATTTTCCCGTTAGGGTTCCTATATTCCACGTTCCTAAACGCATTATACTCTCTTGAACTCTACCCTTCTGTCCTAGCTTCTTCAACCTCCCTCGTCTAATAGGATCAAAGTACTTCTTTTGTGTGTCCTGTGTAAAGTTGATAGGAGCATATGCTCCCAAACAACTTTGAGTGGAGTCGTTCGAAAAGAAGTTTTTATGGCCCCTTTGCTCATTTAACACTGCATCCGGGTACCGATAGAGATACAACGACCCTTGCTCACTTATCATTGTGCTCGGGGCCACACAGCGCACCACTTACGGGTGACGCCCTAGCTTTAACGCGATTTCGTTCTGGATTCATTTTCATAAGGATTCGACGTAAAATAAGAGTGCCGACTGTTGACTTCCTGACGCTCTCCCCCTCCTCCTTTATCCGGGCTTGGAACCGGCAATGTAAGATAAACTTACACAGGCGGAGTTAATCATCAACAAATATGACAAAAAATTTATAACCATCCATTGATTCAATTGTAGGTCCCCAAACATCAATGTGTACAATCTCAAATGGTTTACATGTCTTAAAAGCAGAAGTGCCAAAAGGTAGTCTAATTGACTTTGAAAAATTACATGTTTCACATTTAAGTGGTGACTGACAAAACATAGGAAACAACTTTGACAACACAAGTTCATATTGGTGAGTAAATATTTAGTGCCATAGTTGTTGATGTTCAAAATACATGGGTCCGACTTGAAAGACTCTAGGCATGACAGAATTTTTTGCACAGGTAGTAGAGACTATTAAGGAGCAATCATTCACCAATCATCTTCTTGGTGATGATATCCTGAAAAATAACCTTGTTTGGTGAGAAAATGGCATGACAGTTTAGGGAGCTTGTAATCTTTCCTACTAAAAGTAATTGGAAAGAAAACAAGGGAACATAAAAGGCTAATGACTCATTACTATTTGTGAATATACCAGCTTTTCCCTTACCCAAAACAGACACATTTTTTCCATTTGCAACTGACACTAGTGAGGGTTTTTTGAATGCTTGAAAATCATGTAAATTTGAAAAGTTTGTTTGTCATGTGGTCAGATTAGCTTTTCCTTTATTCATTTGAAACTTATCAACTATGTTGAAGTCAAGATTTTTCAACTTGGAACACTAAGTAATATGTCATATGTTATAATGCAACGGGAGGTAATTTTATTCAAGTGTTTGTTCACTTGTATATTATTACTAATATATGATGTAAATATTCGTATTTTCATCACACTGAAAATTCTATCACGATAGACATTAAGTTTATCATTATAATTATCTATCCAACAAACTTAATCAAATTCACCTATGTTAAATCCAGATGTTTTTCAACTTGGAACACAAAATAATATGTCATATGTTTTGTAATGCAAGAAAGTTAATTTTATTCAAATGCATGTAAATACTCGTATCTTTATCACACTGAAAAATCTGTCGCGATAGACATCAAGTTAATCATAATTATCTATCCAACAAAAACTTAATCAAATTACCCGTCATGGTTGGCCGGTGCCCTTGGACAACTCGTCCTTTCCATGGTTTTCCACAAAACCTGGTGCTCCCCTATACCCGCTGCGCCGCCTGGTTATTTTCTTCCTGTACGTATCTTCAAAGCCGCCAATCAATCCTCTCCACGTCACGATACCAAAAACTCAAACTCTCCATAAACCCACGCGGCTCGCATTTAATGGCTGCTTAACAGGGAACGTTAAAGTCTTCACCGCAGAGGATAACGTAATTTCGTAAAATCTAAAATTTGGTCAGTTGGATAAGGAATTTCAAAACCGGGCCCCTCTGGCTTGTTTATGGAGTTTGAAGCGGACAGTGCAGTGAAGGTCTGAGCTTTTGTCTCTCTCGTTTTGTTGTTTCGAGAAGCTGAGGGGATAAGGGGATAAATAAAAAGGTTGAGACTTTAGGGGATTTTGAACTGTTATTTCTTATTTTCTGTTTGGTTGGTGGGAAAATAATTTTCCGGGAAAATTTCCAAGTCATGGGAAAACCGTTCAGGGACTCTCTTAAAGCGCTTCAAGCAGATATTCAGCACGCCAATACTCTGTAAGTCTCCGCCTTCTCCTTCAATTCAATTTTCCACTAAATACATGAATTTTCACTTTATTTTCCGCTCATCTGCTGCACTAAATTTAGGAGTTTTTTCTCTTGAATTTTTTTTCTTTCCAATTTTTATGTTTTATACTCCCAGTGTCGATTTAAAGACCTTTTTTTTTTCATAGATTAAAAAAAAAAAAATTCTTAGGATCAAAAATTGATTTTTACTATGTAATTATGTATTAATGATGTGGGTTTTATTGATTTCGTGCATTAATTGGACTTTGGAGATGTAACAATTGTGGAATGCTTGTTGATCAAATGCTTTGTTTGGCCACTGTTTTTGTTCAGGGCACTGGATTATCCGAGGGAGAAAGACGGAGCACGTCTTCAGATGAGACTGTCTTACTGTCAGGCGGCCAACTTTTTCCTCTTTCTAGTCCAGTGGACTGACTGTCACCTCGCCGGAGCACTCGGCTTGCTTCGAATTCTTATTTATACGGTACATTCTTTTTTCTCAATCGAGTTTCGTTATTATGTCAATGTGCGATTTTTTTTTCCGCGATGAGAGTGGGAGAGAGCTGAGAGAATTTGAAATGAATTCCTCCGAATGTTGGCTGCATACAGAACTTTTTGAAGTACAACAGTAGTTGTCACATCCCGCCTAGGCTCCATCACATCCCAGGCTCGACCCACCGTATTACGATATTGTTCATTTTGGATCCCGACCATGCCCCTCACGGTTTTGTTTCTGAAAACTCACGTGCAGAACTTCTAAATGGGTCACTCATCCTGGGAATGTTCTGGTCCAATTCTAGCTTAACTTCGGATTTCCGATAGAATCCAAAACCAATGAGCTTTCAAAAGGGCTTGTGGTAGGTAGAGATGAGAATATACATATAAGAATCCATTCCCCTAGGCGATGTGGGGTGTTACAATCCACCCCTTTAGGGGTTCGACGTCCTCGTCGACATACTTCCGGCTAGGGATTGGCTTTGATACCAAATTATCACATCCCGGCCTAGGCCCCCACCACATCTGGGCTCGACTCCATCGTAATACGATATTGTCCGTTTTGGGCCTCGACCAATTCCTCATGATTTTGTTTCTGGGAATTCACGTGATCAGAACTTTCTAATGGGTCACCCGTCCTGGAAATGCTCTGTCTCAATTCTCGCTTAACTTCGGAGTTCCGATGGAACCCGAAGCCAATGAGCTTCCAAAATACCTCGTGCTAGGTAGAGATGAGAATATGCATATAAGACTTATAAGATCCATTTCCTTGGACGATGTGAGATGTTACAGTAGTACAATAGTTGCTTTAAATTTCCTGCTATTTCCCTGAAAACAAAAGAGTCTATGCAATGTGTACTGATGTCCTACTGTGCGTACTGTTATCTGAGGGGAGCACGCTTTTTCGACTGTGGTAGGATGATTGCCGGGCCTGCTGGCCTAGTGGGGTAGCAGCCTTCAGGGTTTTGGGGGCAAGATTTTGGTTTATGTTGTGTCTGTTGGTCTTTATTGTCTAGCATGCTTTGTAATTTCAACGTCCAGCTTCTCAGTTTTTAATTCATTCATTTCGTGCTATCTTCAGAAAATGTAGTAATTGAAATTGACTTCTTGTTTGGTTGTGGGAATGCGATCTATTTGTGCAGACTTATCCAGATGGAAAGACCACCATGTCTGTTTATGAAAGGAAAGCCAGCATCAGAGAATTTTATGGTAAGTAAGATTCAGTAAAGACGTACGTAAATGCTTAGTGTAGTAGTGATATTCGTACGCAAATGCTTTATGCTGCAAGAACATCTTCTTGGGAGGCTGAGAGGGGGGCGGTGGAAGGGTTTGTAGGGGCAGGGGATATAACTTTTTCTTCATCGATATTCATGGATATGTTTTTTGAACACTTTTATTTTCATGGACAGCTGTCATATTTCCTTCGTTGTTGCAACTTCAAAGGGGAATCACAGATGTGGAGGAGAGGAAACAGAAAGAGATTTGCACAGCCAGATACAAAAGAAGGGATGAATCTGAGAGGGGAAAACTCTCTGAAATTGACATCGAAAGAGAAGAAGAGTGTGGAATTTGCATGGAGGTGAACAGAAAAGTCGTGTTGCCTAACTGCAGTCACTCATTGTGTTTGAAGTGTTATCGAGACTGGTAAGCTTTTTGGCCTTTTTTTTCTTGTGTTTTCTTTTATAGTTTTCAACTTATTTGTATACAGCATATTTTCGTTGTATCCATGAATGTGATTTCTGTTAGCAAGAGTGATTTCTTGTCGATGCTTTCTATCTTGCGTGCCACAGATTAATGGAACTGAAATTCTACCTCGAATAAGTGTTAACAACGTTGATTAGGTCATCTTTTCATTTTTTGGGATACTCTCGTACACATTGGACCATGTGTCTTTATAACGTTTCCATCATTAAGTCTTTGGGTTACCCTGTTCGGCTCAGATGAAAGTTTAAAAATGGCCAACGACTTCTCTCGGAATTGACCTTGTTTAATCGAATGATACTGATGCGTAAACCTGGAATTTGGATTTTCCTTTTCCTTGTTTAAATGCTTTTTATTTCCATTCATAAAATCGAGCAGAACCTGATGTTTTCTGCTGTTTGTTTCAGGCATGGTAGGTCTCAGTCATGCCCCTTTTGTCGCGATAGTCTCAAAAGAATCAACTCAGGTGACCTTTGGATCTACACTGAGAAATGCGATGCTCTCGATTTATCATCAATCTTAAGGGAGGACCGTAAGAGACTGTTTATGTACGTTGAAAAACTGCCTCTTATTGTGCCGGATCCTGTTTTTCTACCCTATGATTCTTATGTGCGGTGAGGTTCGTCTACATCTTGCATTCAGGAACTGTGTATATAACAAGCCTTGCCCTACTGTAATTTAAAACCTGTTAACATGTAAATGCACTTTGGCCATTGTTTTGATTCGCTTCAAAAGAGTAAGATGTATTTTGTTCGTGTCATACTTTCGTTCCGCGTTTTTTTCGTTTTGAATTTCATTCATAACTTGAATACAATACTTGCAGTAGGTACATCAATTTGAATCACACTACAAAATGCTATGAGATCAAGAAGAACCAGAGCAGTATGTTGCTGGATCTCGAGTCACGATCTATTGCCTTGAATGCGTACGTAATCTGCGTAAAAGCGACGTTGGTGTTCTTCTGCATGAACATAGGCATGGCCTCCATGACTGGAAACATCAAGACCTGCAATTTCGTCATCCACAGAGATCCTCAAAATCCTGAGCTTGTGAAGGGTGTAGAAGAGAGGACCCATTGTCAAGCTGACCCAGCCCACAATGGCCAAAAGCTCAGCCACTTGGGCTCCGAGCAGCCCCCATCCGCCGCCCATAAAGAGACCGTAAGGCCGTACTGTACCGACGGCGCCTGCATTATAGGCTTGGACAACGAACTCCTCTTTCGCGAACAGCCCTGTAAATATCAAACCCCACGCACCACACCCACCGTGCAATTGGGTCGCCTCTAACGGGTCATCAAATTGTAGTTTTATGGCCAAGATGTTGAACCCCATTAGAACCCAAGCTGCGAAGAAACCACAAACAACGGCAGCCCACGGTTCAACCACGGCACATCCCGACGTTATCGCTACAAACCCACCAAGCACTCCGTTGCAAACATCTAGTGCATCCCAATGACCCACTAGCAAGCGCCGGCCGAATAGGGTAACGATTCCCGCAGTCGATCCAGCTAACGTAGTTGCAACCGCTGTTCGGCCCACGCCAGTCCAATTCCCTTGATCACTTGTGCCCGGATACGCCACAAGAATCTTATCAAACGAGCCCGGATTGAAACCAAACCAACCGAACCACAACAAGAACGTCCCAAGCACCACGAGCGCCGCGTTATGGCCTCTAATGGGTATGGCCTTCCCAAACGCATCAAACCGGCCCACTCTGGGGCCTTCGATGAAAGAGCCCCAAAGCCCGGCAACCCCACCAACCAAATGGACCACGCCACTGTTGTGCTAGGATAGCACCAAACCCGTTGGAACCAACTCAATCTAACCCACAGGAAATTTATCAAATGAAAATGCAAGAACAATATAGAAAATAACACCAAGATTTTAACGAGGTTCCTCCACAGTCAGTGTAACTGGAGTACGTCCTCGGAGCAGTAGGAGCTCACCCAATAATCCACTATCAACCAAATGGGAGTTTACAAAGTGTTGGCAATCTCACAACCCAAAAGCCCAATACACCCAATAGCTCTCACACACCAAAGAAACAAATAGAGAAAGAAATATAATGAATAATTTCTTCTCTATACATATAGCTCAAAGCTATTACAACAACAATTACTTTGGTGGATGATTACTAACCAATTGAAGCAGCAACTTGTTCTTCTTTTTGGGCTCTCTGCAAGACTGCAACTCTCTGAATTTTTCTCTCTATTTTCTCCTCTAAAACAAAAGGGCAGCAGCTCTCTTCTCTCTCTCTCTCTCTACCACACAACCAAATGGAAGAAAGCAACCAAACCCTCCATTATTAAGGAGCCAAAACTCACGGGTGGTAGACAAAAAAGAAAACAACCCATATTTTCTTCCCCAAAACAAGGAAATATGTTGTCCACTTTTGGTTTGTTTATTCTAAAGTATATGGCCACTTGGCCACATAATCCAACAATCTCCACCTTGGCCAAGTTCCGAAAACGCCATGATAAGCCAACAAACACAATTAACACACAACATCACTCCCAAACACTTGCAAGAGAACAACTCATGCCGAGCCAAATGCTCCAAAACTCCTACTGCTCAACGCCTTCTTTATATAGGCAAAATGTGAGCCAAGTTCAAACAGTGAACAAACTTGGCTACACCAACAACCTTAGTCAACATATCAGCGGGGTTGTCTTTAGTTGGAATCTTCTGGAGAATGATTTCCCCTTCACCAACAATTTCACGAACAAAGTGATAACGCACATCTATGTGCTTGGTCCTCGCATGATGAACCTGATACTTAGCCAAATAAATAGCACTTTGACTATCACAATGTACCTCCACCTGCTTCTGATCAATCCCCAAATCTCTAATCAGCCCATGTATCCAAATGGCCTCCTTTATAGCTTCAGCAACTGCCATATATTCAGCCTCTGTAGTAGACAAGGCAACAGACGACTGCAAAATGGACCTCCAACAAACTGGTCCTTTAGCCATAGTAAACACATAGCCTGTAGTAGACTTTCTTCCGTCCAGATCACCTGCATAATCTGAATCAACATAACCAACTGCAAAATGACCAATACCAGAGTCATCTCTCTCAAAGCATAAACCAACATCTCGAGTACCATGGAGATACCTCAATATCCACTTAGCTGCTTGCCAATGCTCTTTACCTGGATTATGCATATATCGACTCACCATGCCAACTGCATGAGCAATATCCGGTCTAGAGCATACCATTGCATACATCAAACTACCAACCAAATTTGCATATGGTATATTTTTCATTTGCAGCTTCTCTTTATCAGTTTTAGGACATTGTAGAGAACTTAATTTAAAATGAGGAGCCAAAGGGGTACTAACCGGTTTGGTTGAATCATGAACTCCAAACTTCCGAATCAACTTCTCAAGGTATTGTCTTTGATTCAAACTAACCAAACCCTTCTCTCTATCTCTAGTGATCTCCATGCCAAGGATCTTCTTCGCTTCACCAAGATCCTTCATCTCAAACTCATTCTTCATTTGTTTCTTCAATTTTTCAATCTCTTCAACATTCTTTGAGGCAATCAACATATCATCAACATATATCAACAAATAAATGAAAGACCCATCTTGCAACTTCTTGAAGTACACACAATGATCATATTGACTTCTAGAATAATTTTGGCCTCTCATAAATTTATCAAACCTCAAATACCATTGCCTTGGAGATTGCTTCAAGCCATAAAGTGATTTCTTCAATTTGCAAAACAAATTTTCCTTCCCTTTCACTATATACCCATCCGGTTGACACATATAGATCTCTTCATTCAAATCACCATGTAGGAAAGCCGTCTTCACATCGAGTTGCACAAGCTCAAGATCAATATTGTGCAAACAAGAGCTAACATAATACGAATTGAGGAGTGCTTCACAACCGGAGAAAATATTTCATTGTAGTCAATGCCCTCCTTTTGTGCATACCCTTTAGCAACTAATCTTGCTTTAAATCTCACATTGCTTTTCTCATCAGCATCTTCCTTCTTGGCATACACCCATTTGCAACCGATAGCTTTCTTGACCTTAGGCAATTTAGCTAACTCCCAAGTCTTGTTCTTCAAGAGAGAATTCATCTCATCACCCATGGCATTGCACCACCTCTTCTTCTCCTCACTCTCAATGGCTTCCTCATAATTGGATGGAATCTCTTCAGTGATAATAGGAAGAGCAAAAGCAACATAATCACTATACCGAGCTGGCTTGGTAATTTGTCTCTTTCCTCTGTTCTTGGCAATAGACTCTTGAGGTGAAACTTGCTCTTCAACTTGAATAGACTCTTCAAGTTCAACTTCTTCAACATCCTCATGGTCTCCAACTTCTTCACTTGTAGTGGCATCGACATCAGCGGAAATAGGATTTGAAGTATCAGAGGCAACTTTCTCAAGCTCCACCTGTTGGACATCTCTCACATTCTTCTCAGAGACTTTGTACATACTTTCTTCATCAAATGTCACATCTCTGCTGATTACAAGTTTTTTCATCTCTGGGCACCACAACCTGTAACCTTTGACACCACTACTAAAACCAAGAAAAATAGCCTTTTTGGCTCTAGGATCAAGTTTATTTTCAGTCACATGAAAATAAGCAGGTGAACCAAAAATACGGATATATAGTCATAATCAGAAGAAGGTTTTCCAATCCATACCTCCATTGGTGTCTTACCCTGAACAGCAGCTGAGGGTAACCGGTTGATGATGTGACATGCATAATTAACTGCTTCTGCCCCAAAATGACTTGCTTAAACCCCGACTGAGACAACATACATCTAACCTTCTCAAGCAAGGTTCGATTCAATCTTTCTGCAACTCCATTTTGTTGTGGAGTTCCCCGAACATTGAAATGTGTCTCACAATTCCTTCCTCTTTGCAAACTTTAAAGAAAGGATCGGATGTGTATTTCACCACCATTATCCGATCTCAAAATCTTAATCTTTCTCCCAGTCTGGTTCTCAACCATTTTCTTCCAACCCAAGAAAATGCTTAACACCTCACTCTTGTGCTTCATAGTGTAGACCCAAGACCTTCTTAAATAATCATCAACAAAGGTCACGAACCAATGTCTACCACTCAAAGAGGGAGTCTTTGTAGGACCCCAAACATCCGAATGCACATAATCAAGAATGCCCTTCGTCTGATGTACAGCAGTACCAAACTTCACTCTAGTTTGCTTCCCCAAGACACAATGCTCGCAGAAATCAAGCTTACAGGTCATGGCACCTTTTAGAAGACCTTTTTTCACAAGCCCTTGTAGAGCTTTCTCACCGGCATGGCCTAAATCTCATATGCCACAATCTAGTAGTATCTGAATCAGATGTGCCCCATATTTTCAGAGACTACAGATGCTTCACCTGTCACAGTGCTTCCCTGTAATAAATACAAATGGCCACATCTAGGAGCTTTCATCACAACAAGTGCACCATAAGTAACTTTCAATGTCTGTCCATCTGAATGAAACCTGAAACCCTTGGATTCCAGAGTACCCCAAAGAAAATAAGATTTTTCTTTCAAATTCGGTACATACCGAACACCTGTCAACTCTTTAACCATGCCATCATGCAACTTCAAACGAACTGTACCAATCCCTTTTGTTGTGCAAGGATTGTCATCTCCCATGAACACAAACGCCACCATCAAACTCTTTCAAGCTTGAAAACCAATCCTTGTGAGGAGTCATATGATGAGTACAACCCGTATCCAACACCCATTTAGTAGCACAATCAAATGATGAGGAAGTGGTTAAAGCAAAATCAGAAAAATCTGTTTCAACCTCAGCAACATTAGCTTCAGAACTTTCTTTGCCTTTGGTCTTCAATTTAGGACAATCTTTCTTCCAATGGCCCTTATTATGACAAAAGGCACATTCATCCTTTTCCAAAGGTTTTCTACCTTTAGAGTTTCCTCTAGGTCGAGACTGTGATTTTTTCCTGCTAGAAGATGACCTCCTCTCCGATGATCTACCTCTAACAAATAAAGCTTCAGAGGTACTATCATGATTTTTATCTCTATGCCTCATTTCATAATTCATCAAGGCATTTGACACATCTTCAAATTTCACAGTTTCTTTACCATGCATAATAGTGGTAACAAAATGCTCATAAGAGTCCGGCAATGAATTCAACAATATTAAGGCTTTATCTTCATCCTTAATATCCTCATCTAAAATTTAACAAGTCGGCAATCAACTTATTAAAAGCATCAAGGTGTCTAATCATTTTTGTACCTTCTTTGTATTGGAAGCGGTAGAGCTTTTTCTTCAAGTGTAGCCGGTTCTCTGCACTCTTCGTCATATACTTGTCTTCCAATTTTTGCCACAAAACACTTGCTACTGTCTCCCGCATCACAAAATACTTCTGAGTTTTTGCAAGGCATAACCGAATTGAAGAGCAAGCCCACAAATTTAATTTTTCCCATTCCGGCTTCGACATAGTTTCCGGCTTCTCTCCCAAAACGGCAAGTAGATCTTGTTGAGCCAACACATCTTTGACCTCACATTGCCACATCCCGAAGTTGTTTGTGCCATCAAACTTTTCCACTTCGAACTTTGCATTTTGCACCGTAGTTCTTGCAAACCCGGAGCTGCTTCCAAAAGGATTTTCATCTTGCCCGTCTGACATCTTTGGCAACTAGACAGTACCCAAGAGCAACTAGTGCTCTGATACCAATTGTTGTGCTAGGATAGCACCAAACCCGTTGGAACCAACTCAATCTAACCCACAGGAAATTTATCAAATGAAAATGCAAGAACAATATAGAAAATAACACCAAGATTTTAACGAGGTTCCTCCACAGTCAGTGTAACTGGAGTACGTCCTCGGAGCAGTAGGAGCTCACCCAATAATCCACTATCAACCAAATGGGAGTTTACAAAGTGTTGGCAATCTCACAACCCAAAAGCCCAATACACCCAATAGCTCTCACACACCAAAGAAACAAATAGAGAAAGAAATATAATGAATAATTTCTTCTCTATACATATAGCTCAAAGCTATTACAACAACAATTACTTTGGTGGATGATTACTAACCAATTGAAGCAGCAACTTGTTCTTCTTTTTGGGCTCTCTGCAAGACTGCAACTCTCTGAATTTTTCTCTCTATTTTTCTCCTCTAAAACAAAAGGGCAGCAGCTCTCTTCTCTCTCTCTCTCTCTCTCTCTCTCTCTACCACACAACCAAATGGAAGAAAGCAACCAAACCCTCCATTATTAAGGAGCCAAAACTCACGGGTGGTAGACAAAAAAGAAAACAACCCATATTTTCTTCCCCAAAACAAGGAAATATGTTGTCCACTTTTGGTTTGTTTATTCTAAAGTATATGGCCACTTGGCCACATAATCCAACAGCCACTTCCGGCAAAGTCAATGGCTCCAGAGCCTAACAACAAGTTACTCGAATTTGGACTAAGCCACCCAGTGGACGACCACACCCAATGAACCACCACGGGGTACACAAACCCGGAAAGAAAGCAAGAGAAAATGAGGTACGCACTAAATTGGGTACGCTCAGCAATTGACCCACTGGTTATACCCGCAACAGCTATGGCAAAAGCCCATTGGAAAAGGAAGAAGCTGTAGTCATAGTCGTAGGTGGAGTTGGGAATGTCATTGAGAGCAAAGAAACTTGTACCAATAAAAGGGTTGGCATTTGAGCCTTCTCCGAATGCAAAGGCAAATCCGAAGAGGTAGTAGGAGAGGCTACCTACCACGGCGTCGACGACGTTGGTAAGCATTATGTTCATGGCGTTCTTGGCTTGAACGGAGCCGGCGCAGAGCATGGCGAAGCCAAGCTGCATGACGAAGACGAGGTAGGCGGAGAAGAGGAGGTAGATGGTGTTGATGGAGTATTCGACGCTTTCCTCCCATGAGGCAGCCATGAGAGAGAGAGAGAGAGAGAGAGAGAGAGAGAGAGAGAGAGAGAGGGTTGATATTTGAGATGGGTTTTGGTAGTTTTGTTTGTTAATGTGTATGATGAGAGGTTTGAAGTTTGAACTTTGACGGGTAGATGCATGCTGGTAGGTCGCTTTATTAATACATACATGGTACTTGGACATATTTTGAAGACTTAATGGGTGGATAGGCTTACCATCAGTGTTACTATCAATTGCATTGAATTCAGTCCCTGTAGCTAGTTTGCAGATTGTCTATTTACATCTACCTCGACGTCTGCATGTAGGCATGATGACTGTGCTCCTCTTAATTCGGCCTTTAGATTTTGTAACGCGCTTGAAAGTTCCGCAGATGACAGAAAAGACTTTCAAGCAGGGGAGGCAAAATCCGAGGGCACCCGATTGCTTTCACCATAAGAGGATGATGATGGTTTTAGTTTGGACCTGGGGTACTTCATCTTATGAATCTATTTCAAACAAAGAAGAAGACATTTGGAAGGGTACCTTGCAGTTCAAGGCAAGTCAACAAATGAAGGAGTAGCGACAATACTCCGTGTCTTCGTGTTATTTGCTTTGGTATGGTCCAAGGGATTGCTTCTTTCTTCCTTGTGGGCACTGCCCTGCCCGTTTTACTTGCGCAACAAGGTTTGTAAACCTACAGCATGCCGCCCTAGGGCATCGTTTTAATATAATCCTTATGCGAAATCATTGTATGTATCTTCTGCAAAATCCTTTGTAATCGATTTTGCAAATTCGATTACGCAAATATAGTTAACTTGTTCATAAAACTAGAGTTGATTTTATCGAATTCAAAAGTTGCATTCACAATTCGAATTTCCGTAGAAAACAAACTGGCAGTACATTGATCATTCTGATGAATTTCCTCATATACCAACTAAAAACAATAAGAAATCAAATCAGAGGAACATCTTATTATATACTAAGAAGTGAAATTACAGTCTCTCGTGATCAAAAGTCTGCTTCTGCACATGGTGGAGATTAGAAAGTCGTCGTCACCTCTACCGGTCATTGACAAAATAGCTTTCATCTGCAGTCAGTCCGTCCTCAAAGCCGGTTGAAGCTGGCCGAGGCACAACTTGAGTTTCTTCAAACTGAGGCTGCACCGGTGGTCCTAATGATAAGTCGACGCCTTTAAGCAAATCTTCATCGTCTAAAAGAAAGTCTTCATCCTCTAAAAGCGATTCACCACCTCCGCCATCCAAGCATATCGGACAAGAACAAACGCCACTGGTCGTCGTGGGACAATCATGATCAGAAAAATCTGGCGGCATTGCATTCAGGTCAATGCCGCTCTTGCTCCTGATCTTGATTAGTTCCACTGATCTTCTTATTGCTTTCATCAACGTGCACAAGAGAACTACTTTTCCTTGCTCTCTCGTTCTCCGGTTTCTCCTTCAATTCTCGGGTTGGATGATCTTTCATGTTCGCGCACCTCGGATTCTTTTTAAGCCGGCAAAGAACAACCGTTCGGGATTTATGATCGGAGCCATTGCCATCGACGATTTCTTGGGTTTGACGAAGACTGTATTCTTCTAGGAGCCAGCCACCGTCCTGGTCACACCCCTCGTTCTTATACTTGAAACACCTCTTATCTCCAATTGGTTTTCCTTCAAAATCCTTAACCATCTTATATGAGCTCTGGCTCCAGGTGACTCCGGCGTCAATGGTGCGTTTGATGTAGCTCGACGGCAGATAATGCAGTTCGTAGAACAAATACAAGTCTTGATCCACAAGGGAACGTCCGCCGAAATTCTCCCAGATAACCCACGGCTCCATCTCCCCGAAGGGGTCGAACTCGTGCATGAAGCTCCGGCAGTACGCCATAAACTTCTTTCCGGCGACGACTCTGTTGGAAAGATAGAAACCGACCAGTTCTTGATCGGTTGGAAGGAATCGAAAACCCGGCGGCACGTTACCGTAAGAACCCATCAGCGTATTGCCGTAGAAATTCTCCATTGTTAAGTTAACCAGGGCTCTAGATTTTGATTCTTGAAGATTTGACTGATCGGCGAAAAAGAAATATTCCGACTCGGAAATGGGTTTTCCGATGAATATAGAAACTCTCTCTCTCTCTCTCTCTCTCTCTCTCTCTCTCTCTAGCAATGCGTAGTGCACTGCAACTGTGTGCTAAATAGGGTGTTTCGGTCCATTTTCAACCGTTGGATCTAATCCATCCAACGGTGGATGATGTCCTTTATTTATCCAAATGGAGGGTATTAACGATATTTCGAATTTTCGTATTTTATTTATTTGCCCAAATTTTGGTATTTTTACCAAAACCGAATTGTAATTTTCCATTTTTACCAAATTTCATTTACCTCGTTTTCTCGAGCGTTCACCAATGCCGAGCCATCATTCCTGCCAAGTGTGAGGAGGAGGAGAGTGGAAGTCCGGAACCGGGTCGGATAAAATCCGACGAGGTAACAGTCTGAGTAATTTGGATCACCGATGTGAGTCGCCTGCCATCTGTTTGATAAATTGCTTGTGGTTCAAGTTAGTGTGAATAGTTTTCCTTGTACATTGCATTTGAATTGCTCTGTTATTTGCAATTGCACTATTTTCAATTGGTTAGGATATCATTTACTGGATTCATGTTTGGCAATGGCAACTAGGGAGGAGGCGCAATGGCTTGATACTCCAAAGTCTCAACGATGGTATAATAGGACAATATAAATGCTATGATGAATGTATGGTGTTTCAGAATGCTTTCATAGGAACAGTGATCTTTTATCGTTTATTGATCAGCGAATGCAATTACTGGATAACGCTTACTTGTTCATTGTGCGTCAATGTTTTCTCACCTCATGAGTGGAATAGTAACATATCAAAAGAAAAAGGTGTAGTTTTTCGGTTTTCTAGTTTGTTCTTAATCTATTCAAATTTTAGTATGTGTGAGTTTGTAGGTTTGCGCATCTCGTCATATGTGTTTTGTTGATTGGGATGTCTTTAGTTATTCATGACCATCTAGATGCTTTCTTGTAGTTGTTTTTCCTCCCATATAGTTTGTTCTGATGACTCCCTCACCAGCCAGAAATTACTGTTATACTATAGCCTATGGCTAAGAGTCCTCTGCTATGTTTCTGCTGCTTGCTTTCCCGCAAGTAGGGGACTGGGTTTGTGGAGGCTGGGGTTGATGCAACTCATTTTAGTTATACATGACGAGATTATGTGATTTTGGAATTTAAAGTTTTAACTTACCAAATGCATCAGGATTTTTATGTTTCGCAACTAGGGAAGCCAAGACAGTTTGGGCCGGCACGAGGCTACTGGTGTCCGAACCAATTGGTCATATACAGGATTTAGTTCTCCTAACCTGTTGTATCTAGTGATAATATATTGGTTTGTAATGCTTTTTTGGAATAAGGATCCTCTAAACATAGTTTAGTCTATGAAAAAAATTCAATTGCTTCATGTTGAACTTGTTCTTTATCCTTCAACGCTTTCTCATCTGAAATGAGTTAGCAGAACGGTAGAATGACCAGTCCTAAGTTATTTGTTTCTTATGTGACTGTTCCTCTTGATCTAAGCTTTGAATTGGTGATGGAGACGGTTAAAATAATACCTTACATGTTGATGCATAAGAAACTACAGATGGGTGTAGTTCTGTACTGGTGAAATTTTATTGTAATGTGCTTTGAGATACTGTTCGCTTTGGTGAGATCAGTTGTCCTGTCATCTATATGCTTTCAGAGTGTTGCATGGCATCTTTTTTTTACCTCATTCGTCCTTAATTCTCTAGGTTTTACATTGATGAGTCGGACATGTTTGAAGTATGGAGGTCTGTAAGAAGACTAGTAATGATTTTCTTAATCTTGTTTTGGTTACTTTTCGTTTATAGGGTATTATGGATGAATCAATGATTCTCACAATGCTGGGCAGATGTCTGTAGATAGTAGAGTAGGTTGTGACGGCTAACTAGCAGTGATTCTTTAGCAATTACATGGAAATACAGACGTAAGATGTGGTGTTTACATGTCTTAAATTGGGATTGCTTTGGGTCAGATGGATTCAACAACAATGCAGACCATGATGATGACGGGACTGTTCTGCATTGTTAGATTAACAATCAGACGGTCTTGATGAGTTGACTTAAGAATGCCCATGGAAGGTAGATTTGAAACTTCAATTCCAAGCAACCTTCAAAGGACATTAGCAACTACATGGTGCAACGACAGATGTGTCCGGATATCTTTGAATGATGCAGGAACAGATGTACCATGGTGCAACAACATGGATTGTCTCAAGCGACTTGGTGGTCGTATTACTGGGACGTCTTTGAATGCTGTAGGGAATATAATGATTTCATTTTGCTCTTTTTGTTTGGCTCTTGATAATTATGCAATCTCGTATTTGTCCTTTGGATCTGAACTGGTTCTATATTTGTGTGATTAAATTTTCCGACCAAATATGCGATCGATCTTTCATGGGCTCCGACGGAATATTTAGCGCCATGGATTCTTTCATTGTTATGCCAATGTGTTTCTGTGCTTTTTCATATTTTCAATTCATCTTAAAAACCAACTTGTGAGTCTATACATTCTAAGTAAACAATTACACGTTGATCAGGAAGTAACTCCATAACAACAAGAAATCAAAGAAACATCTTCTATATAAACTAAAACAGAAATTACAATCTCTCACCGTCGAAATCAGACAGTCGTAGTCACCTATACGTCTCCGATCTACTGATCATTGAACACAATTGCCCATCCACAAACAGTCGTTCCAAAAACTCATCCCATCCAACGGCAAAGGCACTTGAGTTCCGTCAATTTGAGGCAGCTTCCCTAGTGACCATGCAGATCCACAGTCTAATGGTGGTAACAAATCGTCGAGATCAAAAAACATATCTTCACCGTTCTCAAAAAGAAGGTCTTCATCCTTCAAAAGCGACTCACCACCTTCGCTGGCAAAGCTTACTGGCACATAATCATGATCAGAAAAACTTGCAGGCATGGTACTACCGTCAATGTTGCTTATGCACTGCTGGTCATGATTAATAGCGTCACTAATCATCTTGTAATTGCTTTCATCGAAGGGCACGACAGGAGCACTGCTAGTACTAGGGCAGTTTTGTAGTTCCTCTACGGTATGGGTGATCACACTAGTAGTATTTTGTGATCCCACTTCGTTTCTTGCCTTCTTTTTCGCCGGTTTCTGCTTGACTTCTTTTCTTGCCTTCTTTTTTGCCGGCTTCTCCTTGACTTCTTTTCTTGCTCTCTTTTTTGCCGGCTGCTCGTTCACTTGTTGGGTTGAGTTCGAACAATTCTTCTTGTTTCCGCTCCTAGAATTCTTTTTAAGTCGGCAGAGAACTACCTTCCCAATTTCGTGATCGGAGTCATCAGCGCCAGCAACTACACTAGGAAGAATGCTGTACTCTTCCAAGAGCCAGTCACCGTCATGCTCACACCCTTCCTTCTCATACCGCAAATTCCTCTTTTTCCCCATAGCTTTTTCATTCTGCAAATCCTTAACCAGCTTTGAATTGGATTCGCTCCAGGTACCACCGGCGTCAATTTCACGTTTGATGCGCGCCTGGCTTCTAGTCTTGAGTTGGCAGAAGAAGTACAAATCTTGATCTTCAAGTCCCGGTCCGCCGAAATTCTCCCAAACCACCCACGGTGGAGTCTTGCCGAAGAGGTCGAACTCGTAGATAAGATTAAAATTGTTGCAGTCCGCCATTAAGGGCTCTCTGTGGAGGACTCTGTTGTAGAGGAAGAAACTGATCAATTCCTGATCGGTCGGATGAAACCGAAAACCCAGCGGCATACCATTAGAACCCAGCAGCGGATTTTCATAAAAACCCAGCGGCACAACACCACCATAACGCTCCGCCTCCATTGTTAAGACGTCGTTGGGTTTCTCTGTGTTAATTATGTGAATTAACGTGGAAGAAATTAGGGTTTGATGAGGACAAGGACCTTCTCTGTTGTTTTCACTCTTTCTATTTTGGTGCGAAATCGTATGAGTTCTTTCCTTACCGGGGTAGGTGATTATATACTTTTTCTTCCCATGTCTCTGCCGTTGGATCTAATCTCATCCGATGGCTGGGCGCGTTTCGCATAAGTAGCCGTTGGGTTGTGCAAAATAGTCACGTGGTTAGGGATTCAAGGGAATTTGAAATATCCTACAGTGCATAGGAAAAGTATATCTATACTTTCTCCCGCGTTGTTGTTCGCGGGAGCCACCGCCATCCCGCCACCGGAAGTCGGAAACCGGGTTGGATAAAATCGGGCTGGAGATTAGACACCCTCATTGATTTGTACTATAAACTATCTCTCCCTTGTAAGATGTGAGTGTCAAGGAGAATGAGTTCTTGTTCTTGACAAACTGATAGCTCAGTGTATGAGTTATCATGTTGAGGAAATTCTGATCCTACTTGGCTAAGATTAAGAGTCCTAATAACATGTAATTATATTCATGTAACCCTATCAAGACTTGACAAGAGTTTAAAACTTACTAGGACTATATCGAAACCCTAATCTATTTGGAATATCCGAGGTATCAGTTAATAGGCATGATATCAAGGGAGTATGGATATATATAGGGAGGTCCCTGCACTCACAGCGCCGTCCCTTTTTGAGCGAACCTTATTCTAGCTGGATTATTGGCTGCTGAGTGTAGAAGACCTTCTGTTATTCATTGCAGCAATGTCGAGCTCTTCTTCTTCAGGTAAGTCTATTATGTTTACGTATGCATGTCATTGTATGTATGTGATTCTATGCATGCAGTGTTTTAACGTCCAACATGTGGTATCAGAGCACACAATGTCGTGTTTAGAATCCTTACAAACACAAGAATATGTTGATTAAAATGCATGATCCTAACATAAGGCTTTCGTGCAATGAAATTGAAATAGTTATTGACTATTACCGACAGACATCATGTTTAGAATAATATCACTTATACACGCACACATGTTTATATATATATATACATGTACCTATTTTGCAAGTTTTATTTTCAGGAGAACAAGGACGAGTCTTCGGATCTCGGAAGACCAAAACGTAATGAGTTACTGTCACTATATGACCTGGCAGACAAATCTTTTGTGAATCATGATCAATTTCAACTCAAAAGTGTTTGAATCATGCTTCAGTTCATCTATTCAAGTTGAACAGAACGATTAAATTGATGGTGAATATATTTTGAGATAATTCTAAAGAATTCTTATATTCAGTCATGCTTAATTAGTGATAAGTGAGATGAAAAATTATCTAAAGATGTGACTGGTATCATATGATTTTTTATGCCGTTAATTGTTCATACCCTGAACTTTTAATGAAGAGCTTATGAGAACAAGTACTGAATTATATGTTGTTGATACAACTATGACTTCTCTTAACTTCTCCAATATCGAAACACTAACTGATTCCAACTATAAGAAATGTAATGAAGACATGGAGATATCTCTTGGCATGATGGATTTCGATTTGGCTTTAAGGGAAGACAAACCTGCAGCGATAACAACTACAAGCACAGTAGAAGAAAAACTGAAGTTTGCTCAATGGGAGAAGGTAAATAGAATGGCTCTTATGATTATGAGGAGGGCCATGACTAGCAGTGTGAAAGGTGGCATTCCAAAGAGTGACAGTGCAAAAGAATTTTTGATGCAGTGGGAAACAAATTTAAGGAGTCTGAGAAAGCTGAAACAGGGAATTTTCTCACAAAACTGAAGTCCATGAAGTTTGATGGTGTTGGTAACGTGAGAGAACACATACTAAAGATGTCAGACATAGCACAGAAGCTGAAGGAACTAGAGCATCCAATCACAAATAAGTTTCTAGTGCATATTGAATTCCTTAACTGCACAGTATGGCCAGTTGAAAGTGTCATACAACACTCAGAAAGCAACTTGGGACATCGATGACTTAATCTCCATGTGTGCACAAGAGGAATTGAGGTTGTCAACTGATAAAGTGGAGACTGTGAACCTTGTTCACATTGCAAAGGGCAAACATGTTGCAGTTGATCAGTCATCTGTGGCTGCTGGTAAGCAGAAGAAAACAATACATTATTCTTCTTTAAAAATACTAAACCCCTTAAACGATCTCAAAAGTTTAAAGCCATCTTTGAAGCACCAAAGCTTTGTTAGTTGGCCATCTAAGGAAAGATTGTACTGGTTTTAAAAATTGGCTTGTTAAGAAAGGTAATGAAATCAATGTTTATGTTTGTTTTGAGTCAAATTTGATTTATGTCCCTTCTTTTAGTTGGTGGTTTGATACTGGTTGCTCAATCCACATTACAAATACCTTGCAGGGATTCACAAACCTAAAGAAGAGAAATAATGAAGTTTACAATGTTTTTGTTGGAAATGGGAGCAAAGTAGCAGTCGAGTCAGTTGACAGTGTCTCTTTAAAGCTTTCTTCTGGTTTTATTTTGTTTCTTAGTCCAGTACTCTATGTACATTCTATGAGAAGGAATTTGATTTTAGCTTCTAAGTTAGTCAAATAAGGTTCTACTTTTATTAGAGAAAATGAAAGTGTAAGACTTTTCCTTTTGAATAAATTAAACACTTTGCTTGGTTATGCCTTACTTCATGTTGATATGTGGCAACTGCAGTGTGATTACTTACATGAATGTTTCACAGTTCGTCACATTGATTCCAAGAGACTATCTCAAAATGAAAACTCTCCCATACTTTGGCATTAAAGACTCGGCCATATATCCAAAGAAAGACTTGTGATTTTAACTAAACAAAATCTTATACCAAATCTCAATTTTGAAAGTCCTCCAACCTGCATTGATTGTTTTAAAGGAAAAATGACCAACACCAGGAAATTAGGATCCACAAGAAACAACCAACTATTGGAGATAATTCATATAGATATGTGTGGCCCTTTTCCAAATAAAACAATCTGTGGCAACTCCTATTTTGTCACATTCATTAACGACTTTTCAAGATATTGTTATGTGTATCTTATATCTGAAAAATCTTCTGCTCTTGATTGTTTAAGACATACAAAAATGAGGTTGAAAACCAGCTAGAAAAGAGCATTAAAATAGTGAGATCAGATAGGGGTGGTGAGTATTTTGGCAGGTTCACAGAGATTGGACAACACAATGGAGTCTTTGCATATTACCTTGAAGCCTCGGGGATCATTGCTCAGTACACCACTCTAGGTACTCTCAAAATGGAGTAGCAGAAATGAAGAACATGATTCGATCCATGTTTTCATGGTCTAAACTTCCAATTTTTCTGTGGGGAGAAACACTTAAAACAACCAATTACATACTCAATAGGGTTCCAAGTAAGTCTGTCAAAGTCATACCTTTTGAAGCTTGGACAGGAAGAAAACCAAGTTTTAATCATTTCATGTATGGGGATGTAGAGCTGAAGCACGGTTTTATAATCATCATGAAAGGAAGTTGGACTCAAGAACTATCACTTGCAGGTTCATTGGATATGCAGACAAGTCCAAGGTTTTTAAGTTCTACTATCCTGATTCTCACTAGAATTCAGGAGACTAACAATGCAAAGTTCATCGAAGATCTGGAAGAAGAAACAATGCATCACAGTACCTCAGATTTCGAAGAAATTGGAAATGAAGTTGGTCAGCTCTCCACAAAAACTTATGCATTGTTACTTGAACGTCAAGAAAATTCTCTTTCTCTCCCAACTGTTTTACAAAATGCTTAATCAGTGAACACTATGTCCTTTCCTGAAACATTGCACGATTATGATCCTGAACCTCAAATCCTCGAACATCAAGTCCCTAAGGATGCAGCTCAACCATTACAACAAGCGTAGTTACCTATTAGACACTCAAACAGGCAAAGAAAACTAGTGATCCTACTTGATTTTGTGTACTTACAAGAGACTGAATATGACATAGGAGATGATGATGATCCCCTAACTTTCAATCAAGCTATCAATAGCTCGAGAACAGACCTGTGGTGTGCATCTATGGTCGAAGATCTTGCAGCCATGGAGAAGAACCAAGTTTGGACACTGGTACCACTTCCATGCAATGCTAAACCCATTGGCTGCAAATGGGTGTTCAAAACCAAAAGAAATACAGAGGGAAAGGTTGAAAGACACAAAGCTAGACTTGTAGCTAAGGGTTTTACACAAAGGGAAGGTATTGACTATAATGAAACCTTTTCACCAGTTTCATCCAAAGACTCTTTAAGGGTGATCAAGGCTTTAACAGCCCATTTCAACTTGGAATTACATCAAATGGATGTAAAATCAGCCTTTCTTAATGGTGTTTTGGATGAAGAAATAATGATGGTTCAACCACCAGGTTTTGAGGAGAAAAGGAAAGAGACTATGGTCTGCAAACTCAACAAGTCGATCTATGGTTTAAAGAAATCCTCCAGGTAGTGGTACATCAAATTTGATCAAGTGGTTTCTGCTTTTGGTTTTGAAGAAAACAAGATTGATGACTATATATATCTCAAGGTCAGTGGCACGAAATTTATATTTTTGGTATTGTATGTGGACGATATTCTTTTAGCTAGTTCATACTTGACTCTTTTGCACACCACTAAGACCATGTTAACCGAGAGTTTTGATATGAAAGATCTTGGTGAGGCGCATTTTATTCTTGGTATTGAGATTGAGCGAGACAGATCCAAGAGGATGCTGAGGTTGTCTTAAAAGTCCTATATTGACATAATCATGAAAATATTCAACATGGAGAAATATGCAGGTGGCGAGCTTCCCATTGCAAAAGGTGATAAGCTTAGCATTGACCAATGCCCTAAAAATGACCTCGAGAAAAATGGAATGAATGACAAGCCTTATGCATCACTTGTTGGCAGCATCATGTATGCTCAAGTATGCAGAAAGCCTGATCTAGGGTTGCAGTTAGTGTTCAAGGTCGTTTTCAGTCTAATCCCGGGACTTCTCACTGGACTGCAGCAAAGAAAGTATTGAGGTACTTAAAAAGAACAAGGAACCTTGCATTGGTATACCAGCAAGTTGAGAATTTGGAAATGGTGGCTTATTCAGATTCAGACTTGGCAGGTTGTGTTGATGATAAAAAGTCTACAAGTGGATATGTTTTTCTTCTTGCTGCTGGTGCAATTTCGTGGAAAAGCTCCAAGCAATAGGTGATTGCTTCTTCAACTATGGAGACTGAGTTTATTGGTTATTACACTGCCACTAAACAAGCAATTTGGTTGATGAACTTCATCATGGGACTGAAGGTTGTAGACTCAGTTGAGAAACCTATAACTATTTACTGTGACAACAAGGCTGCAATCTTCTTTTCTAGAAACAACAAGAGGTCCATTGCTTGCAGATTAATGGACATTAAGTATTTACGTGTGAGGGATGAAGTCAGAAAAGAGCCGATCAACATAGTTCACATTGGAACTGATTCTATGATAGCAGATCCAATGACTAAGAGCTTACTAGTGGGAGTGTTCAAGAAACATCTAATACATGGGAATGAGAGAGGATTTTGATTCTGTTAATGAGTGGGAGTAGTAAACCCATTTGATTCTGTTAATAAGTGGGAGTAGTAAACCCATAGCTAGTTCTATTATGTTTCCTTTCGCTTAATTGGATGCTTTCATAATGTTTTGTTCTCATGTTATATTATGATAATAATGTGTGCCATACTTTTGTACGAGGCTTAGCTCAGGAGTTGAATTTTGTTTATCAACCTGAAACTTTTGAATTTTGTCAAACAACACAGTGCTTATGGTGTAGGTACTTGTAATTATAAAGTGCACATGTAGAAGAGATTACATATTGCATTTATGATTTAGTATTCGAAGCTATAAGTGACAGGTTGTTAAAGGGTAATTGCAGCTTTCGGGACTTGTGATCACCTTAGTCTTAGCCTATGTAATAACATTCTTCTTGGACACTCAAGTGGGAGAATGTAAGATGTGAGTGTCAAGGAGAATGATTTCTTGTTCTCGACAAACTGAAAGTTCAGTGTATGAGTTATCATGTTGAGGAAATTCCGATCCTACTTGGCTAAGATTAAGAGTCCTAATAACATGCAATTATATTCACGTAACCCTATCAAGACTTGACAAGAGTTCAAAACTTACTAGGACTATATCAAAACCCTAATCTGTTTGGAATATCCGAGGTATCAGTTAATAGGCCTGATATCAAGGGAGTATGGATATATATAGGGAGGTCCCTGCACTCACAACGCCGTCCCTTTTTGAGCGAACCCTATTCTAGCTGGATTATTGGCTATTGAGTGTAGAAGACCTTCTGTTATTCATTGCAGCAATGTCGAGCTCTTCTTCTTCAGGTAAGTCTATTATATATGTTTACTTATGCATGTCATTGTATGTATGTGATTCTATGAATGCAGTGTTTTAACGTCCAACATCTCTCTCTCTCTCTCTCTCTCTCTCTCTCTCTTTCTAAGGAATGCCTAGTGCATGCAGTGGCGAAGCCACGTGAGGGCGAGGAGTGGCGGCCGCCACTCCCCTCGCCGGAAAAACAAGGTTGGAGTGCTGGCCAGCCCCTCCCCTCCTCCTGCTGCAGCGCTGCTGCTCTTCGTCTCCTCTGGTGCTGTCTAGTTCTGCTCTGCTCACAGCAGAGCTGCATTCAAATTCCCAGTAGAAAAATCCCAGCAGTCAGCACACACCGGGCCACCGTTTGGCCCTTTGTCCGCGCCAGCCATCTCTACGGTGGGCTGACTATTGCAGAGGAGGGCAACTCCTGCGCGAGGAAGAAGAACGGAAAAGAAAAGTTGTTATAAAAATATCTTGAACCGGACGAAGTCGTTTCAACATTCCTTTTAAATGAAACTTTTCATTTTGTTACTTTTTCTTCTATCCTTTTTTTGTTGCTTTTCCATTTTTCCTTTCCTTTTTTTTTTCCTTCTCTTTTTTCCGTTTGACTTGGCTCCTTTGTTTTTGGTTAAATTGTTTGGCTTGGTCTGTCATTCTTTTGGTTTGATCTTCTGATTGGTCCCTAATTATACTTTAAAAACATAAGTGCTTCAATGAAATATTTTAGATAAACCATACCCACAAAATACCACATAAAATAAGACTTTCAATACTAAAATTACCTTAATGTTGTTAATACAATATGGAAGAGGTTATTTCATACTCAAATTTGTATGTTTTTTTTTTCTAGCCATCACTATTTTCAATGAATTTCCGATGTGAATTTGAGGACTTGTTTCATGTTTCAAGTAATATGAAAATTAATGGAAATGGTTTGAAAATTTTTTAGTTTTAACCAAAAGAACAAAAATGTGTTGTAAGTGAATAGTACTAAGAGTGACTTTTTAGAGTAACAATGTCCTTAACGTTAAAAGTGAACAGTACCAGGAGTGTTTCGTTATAAGACTCCCTAATTTAAATCCATCTGGGCTCCTGCCTAAATCTCACCTAGGCACCTAGCTGCTAGGTTCTGATCCGCTATTTGACTAGCGCTTAACATTTTTTAGGATCTAATCCTAGGCAATTTAAGCTTCATACATTGACTTTGATATTTTTGCTTACAAACGCTTTGGTGGAGAGACTATTTTCTGTTATGAATATTGACTCAAGACTTTGCACTCTCCAATGTGAAAGCAACCGCTTCGATTGAACCTTGCACTCTTTTGAATTTCGCCCCTCCCTTGGCAAATCCTGGCTTCGAGTGCATGCACAGCTAAAATTTTTGCCGAGAACGACAAGGACAGTGGAAGTCCAGAACCGGATCGGATAAAATCTGTCCGGTCATCAATTTCGTAAATTTTGGACCACGATGCGAGTCGCCCCAAACCCTTGATAAAATGCTTGTTTGACAAATTTGAATTCGCTACGATGTATTATTATGTAAGTTTTGTTGCTTATGAGGTATTTATGTTCTGTGCTGTTTAAATGTTCTGTTCTACAAAAGCAATTGCTTGACTTGAGTGAGAACTGAAGGGCTCGCTGGAATGTTCATAGGGCATCTCCAATGGGGTCAAAATTTAAAATTGAGATGAAAAAACCATATTTATCTCATTTCCATTTCCAGAAGATGTAAATGAGAGTTCTACTCTAATGGAAGGGATGTAAATTTGAGCTCTCATCTAATTTTCTCTCTTTGATTAGCGGGACTTATCATCAAAAGACATAACAAAGAATATAAATTTAAGCTCTTATTTATATTTTCCATTGAATATGAATAATTTAGATTTCATCATTGGAGAATTTTGGCGAAGGAAAAATGTAATATAGATGGTTGATAACCTTCTTTATTCTTTATTTCGCCAGTAGATGTGCTCTTAGAGCAACAACTGAGATAAAAAAGCGATTAATACATCCAGTGATATAGCGTATACAGTAGAGCTGAAGCGCTTTCCAGGGGAGCATCCTTATCTAAGAGAGGCATGGACATGAAGGCCCCCATCAATGTGGAGGGTGACCTTGGTTGTGTAACGGGCTACTTTGTTCTCTTCTTTCAACTTGAATTTAAAGCTCCCTAAAAGCACAGCAGAAAAGATGAACATCTCTCTATGAGCAAAGTCCTTCCCTAAACAAATCCTTGGACCCGCCTGTTTATTTAAATCACAAAATTTCTTCAATTCTTTTTTTAATAAATAAATAAATAAAATGTGGCATGTATTGATGCTATTCTCTTACGCTGAAGGCTATAAATTTGAAAGGGCTTTCTTCCTGGAAAACGCCATTTTCGTTTAGCCATCTCTCTGGCCGAAATTCTTGTGCGTCATCACCCCATAGATACGTCATCCTGCCCATGCTATAAGCATTGTATGCCACCATATCACCTTTTTTGACACTAAATCCATCTGGCCATGTATCATCAGATGAACAGATCTTTGCATTCTATGTCGACAGTGCATATGTCATCACACAAATTGTAAAATAAATAGTCAACAACGATTCAAAATAATTCAAAAAATTCAGAAAGTACGCACATCTGTTTATTTCTGGCCTTGAATTGAATAAATCAAAAGAGAAGTAAGGGAAAAAAAATAAACAGAGCCTTCGGAAACCATTTCCCTTGCAATATGTATGCATTTGGTTTAATTAAGATGTTAGTCAAATTACCAGTGGAACTGAAGGGCAGAGCCTGAGTGTCTCGGCCAAAGCTGCATAGAGATACTGCATTTTGTTAAGGGCTTCTTCATTAAGACCGTCTGCAAGTTCAACAATGCTTGAATCATCCTTCAGATTTGCCGCTTCTCGAACTTCCTTCGCAACCTTTTCTTGCATATGAGGGTGCTTGCAGAGCATATAAATAACCCATGTAATAGTGCTCGCCGTTGTGTCTCTGCCGGCAACAATGAGACTCAAAATCAAGTCTCTCAAGTACTTTGGATCATTCCCTCTCACTTCCAAAAGCCTTGAAATCATGTCTCCCTTCTTCAACTGTCACTCATCCACATTAATCATATATATTAAGATACTAAACTAATCATTAATTAATGGAATGGAAGGTAATTAACTCACTGCAGGTAGCTCATCCTCTGATGAATTATGGGATGTTTCAATCTTTCTGTTGATTAATTTATAAATAAATTGATCCATCAGTTTAATATCATTTCGCAGCTTTGCTTCTGACCCAATGTTGAGGAACCGTTTGATTTTCCAGGAGAAATCAACAAAACGATGCAGGGTAAGTTTGTTTGCTTCATCGAAAGCATGGGCAAACCGGGTGCCTTCTTCATTTGTCCCATACATGGTATCTACTTCCATTCCAAGCAGAATCTTGACGACTGAATCGAACCCCGCTTTCATAATCAAATCCTTCCCAGTCCAAAAATATATATATTAAAAAAGAACCAAGATTTAAATATCTGCAGAAGAAATAAAATGACAATTCTATCTATGTGAATATCGAACCATTATTGAAAACTTACTTGGATCTCTATGACTTGGCCGCAGGTTGCCGCTTTAGAAATGATCCCAGCAAGCTTTACTGCGTTGGTTTTGAAAACTCCATTGCTGAAGTCTTTTACTACTTTGGTTGATATTTCATAGCTAGATAACTTCCTTTGATGTATCCATTTTTCGCCATCCACAGCGAAGATCCCATCGCCCAAAACATCTGTCAAAATTTCGTAGTTGTATAACCCCTGTAGCAGGTCAAGCTAGTTAATTAGTAGCATAAATTAACGTGTGAGACAATGTACGTGCGACCATTTGATAAAAACACAGTTTTGGAATTTTCCAATAGCATGAATTTTGATAAAACACACGTACCCTGCCATAATTTGCGAAGTTCGTTTTGAGAATGTATTCGAGATTTGCAGGATCCACAGTAATAACGTAATTTACGAACAAGTTAAGTACCCTGAAAGTTTTGTGTTTGTATGCAAACTCAGTGATAAAATCGTGCAGCCTGTGAAAGTTGACGAGGGCGTGTAAGAAGGTTGTGACAACAGGATGGTATCTCTTTGTCATCTCAGAACTCCGCAATCTTTTCCTCGCATGGGATCTGATCGCAAGTAAAGCTAAAACTACTAGAGCTAAACTTATTGCTACGGGAGTGCAAAGAAGATCCATGACACTCAGTGGGGGCGGTGAAGAAAAGAAACACCTTGTCTCACCCATTTATAGAGAAAATAAAATTTCCTTTTTCTCTTTTTTTATTTAACCAGATATTTACAGTATTATAAAAGTTTGTATCTAACTTGGCTGTATTCAACGCCTTGTCACGTCAAGCTCGCAATTAATTTCCATTAAGTTTCTTTTAATACAGTATAAACCAACGGGGTTCCTCATAATTATAGTTTATTTATATTCCTCTTTATTTATAAATACGAAGTCTTAAATTTGAATCACAATGAATTTACAACCAATTTATTTCTTCTAACTCCTTAGAATAATTTTATCATTGTATAAAGAAAAACAACAACAAACAACCCCATCCCAAAAGAGTGAGACAATTCTACATTTAACAAAACCGATCTAAGCGGGTCTTATTTGATTGGTTATTACTGTTTGAGAAATCATTACCGACATATACGGTTTGGGCAAAGACCTTGCCCATCCTTAATTGATTTGGATTTCAGAGAATTTTAATAATATTTTTTTAACTGACAAATTTCAAATGATTTTAATAAACTTTACAATTCTATATGAATTTTGACAGATTTATATAATCTTGCCCATTCTGCAGCTTTTCGTTGTCATTGGATCATGAATATTGTTGGAGTCTTGGAGACGATTATATATTTATGTACCGTACGTGTTATCCTAGATAATCAACGTCAATCAAGACGACTAGGTTAACAAACAATATGCACCCCTATTCCTATTGCCACCAATCTTATAAATAAATCAGAATGTGTTTGTCAAAAAAGCATCACATCGCCAAAATTTAATTGGCTTTTCCTGCTGACCACATAATTTGCTGGCAATAAGAGACTACTAGGATTAGTTTGAGGGTTTAAAGACTTGGACTGGAACCTCGGGCCCCAGTTTCTGGAATCGGCTGTGGGGTTTTGTGTTGAAGGGAGATAATGAGACGACATAAATGGTCGGTTGTTTGAAAGTAGGATAAATGCAGGAGAAGCTTAAAAAGGATTCCTAGGGTGGAGGTGAGATTTTTTATAACCTTTGTTATACATAAAATTTGGGAGCATTTTTGCTTACCACTATAAACTATGGTGCATACTTACCATACACCTAATCAATTGACACGTGTCATTTCACTTAATCTTGGTTAATTTTTTTTCAAAATTGAAAAAACTAACATTTAATGTAGAAGTTAACTAGAGTTAAGTGAAATGACACGTGTCAATTGATTCTCAAATCCTACAGTCTCTTTCTTAATGAAATCTTTCAAAATCTATGACATTTTGAATACCTACATAATTGTAACTTGGATTTTAAATATTAATTGACTACATGTGGATTTTGATGTATTCTTCAAAATCCTATTAAATCTTATTTTGACTACACCTTGATTTCAAAGTTATTTAAAATAATATTTTAAAGTCATAATTGACTACATTCTGATTCTAAAATCATTTAAAATCCTTTCAAATTGATAGATTTCAAAGGATTTTAATAGACTCTACAATCCTAAATGGATTTTTATCACAGATTTTTATGAACTTCTTTTATGAATTTCTTAGGATTTAAAAAAAATTTGAGAATCACATGCGAAGCCGTTAGATCATTTTTAATGAAATCCTGCTGTTGGAATTAAAACTCCCTCATCACCTAAACACAAAATGATGCTCTCGGAAACACTCGCCTCTCGCTCTCGCGAAGAAGGGGAGCATGAGTAGAATATAATTTCAAGAACCAGTAAATTCATAATAGGCAATAAATATTACTTCATTTGGAGGTTAGAACAGCTTATTGGATTGACAACTAACTGGTGACTTGTGACCAGTAGTAGAACCATTCTCTTGCATATATGGCTCTAGATAGAATCGAGCACGGAAAACAGGCAACTGTGTAAATATGTTGGAGGTACTGCAAAAGGATATAGCAGATAATTCAAAAACATTTTGCAAGCAGCATCCTTGTCTATCATGGCTTTGTTACAGAACTAATTCTTCCACATTTCGTTATCGTCTGCTCTAAAAACTAAAAGGCAATTGCAGTTTTCTTTGCATTAGAAGGAATTGCTATCGCGTTTTTTGTTTCTTCTGTTCCTTTGAGCATTGCATGTTTGTGAAATTCTTCCACCCTTCTGCTTTGTAAAAAAGAAAATTAAGTATAGTAGTATGTATTGTATACCCATATATTCAGTTTAAGCACAGGTTGTTAGCTTCTTAATTTTTATGTCCACCTTTTATAAACATATTCGTAAGTTGGCCCCGAGCTCGATTGCCCTTCCCCACTCTGTGTGTGTGTGTGTGTGTGTGTGTGTGTGTGTGTGTGTGTGTGTGTGTGTGTGTGTGTGTGTATTATATATCGTTTGTAATTTGAGACATTCAAATTAGCTTGAGAGAGAAGGTAGAACAATGGCTTAGCAATGGCAGGATTTCCCAGAGAACATTCTAGTGAGGTGGGCATTCTTAGAGAGAAGTAGAGAAGCTTGAAAATAAATCCTATGGGTGGAGATGAGATTCTTTATAAGCTCAGTTATGCATAAAATTCACTTTCAAATTCTACAAAATCTCATACTTAATGAAATCTTTTAAACTTTATGACATTTTGAATACCTATAGATTTGTCTGGACTCTTTAAAATCACACCTAGATTTGGATGTATTTTTTAAATCTTGTTAAATCCTACTTTGAATACGCCATGATTTTAAAGTCCTTTAAAATCTTTTTCTAAATCTTAACTGACTACATCATGATTTTAAAGTTTTTTAAAATCATTTCAAATCTTATTTGATTACACCCTCTTTAGTTTGGCCTTTTAATTGGCAAAGAAGATTCTCTTAATAAAGGTAAAGATTTTTAATATTGATTTCTCCAATTCTACGCCCAAAAAGCATGGCTAGACTTGAATTACGAATAATCACCTTAGAAAGTGACTCATAGAATTTCAATAAGAGTTGTTTTATTGACATGGCACAATTTATTGACTACACCCCACTTAAATTTATAATATTAACAAACTTATTTGTCCTAACAAAAATGACTATTTAAACTGTAGAACATGCATATTGAATAACGTTTATTTTCTAAACACACCTCACAAGTCCATCGTTTACACAATTCAAAAAGAATTTGGTATGTTGAAATAAGTGTGATATTTAGCAGTACATGATCGCGCATGAAGAACTTGTATGTAGAACATGCTTGTACTTCAAAATTATTCAACTTTTTATTTTTTCCAAACAGTAGAATTACCCTTTCTTGCTCTTTAATTTCTGATTTTTTTCCAGGACATTAGAAAACCTAATACCCAAAATTTCACAAAAATTTAAAACCCATTGACAAATCCCGCTTCGCTTACCAGCACGACACTTGTTTACTCCCTTACAATCCTGTTTTCACAGTTTAGGCTTCTCTTATTTCGCTCGCTGCTACAATGAAAATTGCTTTTGCTTGAAAAAAAAAAACAAATAAAATATTTCTGAACATTTGATTTCGTATTAAAGACAAATAAGAGTTCCTGAAGACCACTTCGTGAAGATGACGAATATGATATTTATTTAGCATTGAACATATTGATGTTAGTATTGGGTGGAGTGTGGAGTGAAATGGTAGTTTTGACAAGTTAAGTGGATGTATTAAGTTAAATTTTACTTTGAAAAGTAATTGTATAGTGTTTTTAGTAAGTGAGGTGCAGTGAATAAAATATGGAGTGTCAAAAAACAACCATTTCAATAAGAGAAATGTTAAAGAGACTCTTTTGAAGTTAGACTCTTTTTTTTTTTTTTTTTTTTTTTTTTTTTTTTTTTTTTTTTTTTTTTTTTGGAGAACCTCGGCGGTACGAGGGAAATTTATTGATAAGAAAAAAGAAGATACACCTAGACAGGGGGGGACATAAACCTAACCCCTCATAGAACAAGAGAAAAGAAATACAAAAAAGGGGGGGACATGCACCTTACCCCTTTTGAGAAAGAAAATACAAAAGAGGGGGGACATAGACCGTACCCCTCTTGGAAAAGAAAATACAAGGAAAAGACTGGGCGGACATAAGCCCAAACCCCTCAATAAACCTAAAAGGTAATAACCTGCAAGACAAGCTGCAAAACAAAAGGGAATCCAAAAAAGGTTAGGAAAAGAAAGGAGAACACACATCAAGAAGAGGAGACAAACCTGTAGGTTGGCATGCCCAAGAAATCTGAGTGCAGAGGAGGAAGGATCTCTATAGGGGGAGTGGAATGCCAAACAAGGGAAGATGATAGAAGCCCTAAATTGGCTAATTTGTCAGCCACAACATTCCCTTCTCGAAAAATATGAGAGCAACGAAAAACCATGTTCTGCAAATGGAGAGTACAATTGTTCCAGCGTGTCTGGAGAGACCAAGGGGGAGAGAAAGATCCAGAAGCAAAACATGATATTACACTAGAAGAGTCGCTTTCAAGCCATAAATTTAGCCAGCCCCGCGTGTGGGCCAATTCGATAGCAAGGATGACAGCATGGAGCTCCGCATAGAAAGAAGTACGATGACCCAAGCTTAGGGAGAAACCACCAAGAAAATAACCTGCAGAGTCACGAAAAACCCCGCCACATGCCGCAGGACCCGGATTACCTTTAGCAAGGCCATCAGTATTCACTTTAACCCAAGAAAAAGGAGGGGGGAGCCAATGAACAGGGACAATAGAAGGAGCTTTACAGGAGTTAGGCGATATTCCAAGAGAAACTAAAAGTTGCCTATCCAAAATGCCTCGTACATGGCCAGGGGTGAGAGCTCCAACCTGCCTAATCCAGGCCGAGGTGGAGCGGAAGAGACGAGAGAGGGAGGGAGGTTTGCCTTCAAACTTCACTTTATTACGCATCTTCCAAATAGCCATTAGTAAGAAAAACCCTGAAGCTATCCAGACATTGCGAAGATGTGGAGAAAACCGCTTTGACAGAAAAACAAGCCATAGATCAGAGATGGAGGCCGTAAGAGGTATAATAGTGCCAAATTGGGTAGCTAGCCAACG